CGGCCGTCGCGGGGAAGTGCCGCCCGGCGGGGTCGCGGCGCCTGAAGCCCACGTGCGCTGCCGAGCCCGAGGTGGCTGACAGCAGAGTCCGCGGAGCCGCCGCCCGCGCTCCTCCCCGAGGAAAGGATTTTGATTTCAAAGAAAGGAAGGAAGGAAGGACAACTCCCAGCTCCCCCCTCCCGCCCTCCCCGCTCGGCGGTCGGGCCGGGCCATGCCCAGGAAGGCGGCGGCGGCGGCCCAACCGAAGGGACTTTCCTGGCAGCCCGGCGACGAGGAGCGGGATCTGTGAGTTCGCTCTGCCTCGGTTCATGGTTCCGGCAAGCCCTCGGAGAGGCCGAACGCTGCAGCGCCTCCTCGCACCCCGAAGAGCCTCCTGCGTTCCCTTGCCCTCGGACCCACCCCGCGCCGCCCGGGCTCCGGCCGCCGCAGCCCAGTGCCCTCTGCCCGCGGCGGTGGATGGCATGATGGTGCGGAGAAGGCACCGCGGCCTTGGCCAGCTGAGTCGCGACGGCCGCGGGGGCGGCGGCAGTGGCAGTGGCGGTGGTAGTGGGCTCCCCAGCGGCATGCCAGTGCCCCCCGGGCGCGATGGCTAGCGGCAGCGCTGGGAAGCCCACTGGCGAGGCGGCTTCTCCGGCTCCTGCGAGCGCCGTCGGCGGGGCCTGCTCGCAGCCGCGGAAGAGGCTGGTGACCGTCTGCGACCACTGCAAGGGCAAGATGCAGCTGGTGGCCGATCTGCTGCTGCTGTCGAGCGAGGCGCGGCCCGTGCTCTTCGAGGGCCCCGCCTCCTCTTGTGCCGGCACCGAGTCCTTCGAGCAGTGCCGGGACACCATCATCGCGCGCACCAAGGGGCTCTCCATCCTCACCCACGACGTGCAGAGCCAGCTCAATATGGGCCGCTTCGGGGAGGCGGGGGACAGCCTGGTGGAGCTGGGCGACCTGGTGGTGTCGCTGACCGAGTGCTCTGCCCACGCGGCCTATCTGGCGGCCGTGGCCACACCGGGCGCGCAGCCCGCGCAGCCCGGCCTGGTGGACCGCTACCGCGTGACGCGCTGCCGCCACGAGGTGGAGCAGGGCTGCGCCGTGCTGCGCGCCACGCCGCTGGCCGATATGACGCCGCAGCTGCTGCTGGAGGTATCGCAGGGCCTGTCGCGCAACCTCAAGTTCCTGACGGACGCGTGCGCCCTGGCCAGCGACAAGTCTCGGGACCGCTTTTCACGCGAGCAATTCAAGCTGGGCGTCAAGTGCATGAGCACGAGTGCGTCGGCGCTGCTGGCCTGCGTGCGAGAGGTTAAGGTGGCGCCCAGCGAGCTGGCCCGCAGCCGCTGCGCACTCTTCAGCGGGCCCTTGGTGCAGGCCGTGGGCGCCCTGGTGGGCTTCGCCACCGAGCCGCAGTTCCTGGGTCGCGCGGCGGCCGTGAGCGCCGAGGGCAAGGCGGTGCAGACCGCCATCCTGGGCGGCGCCATGAGCGTGGTGTCTGCCTGCGTGCTTCTGACCCAGTGCCTCAGGGATCTGGCGCAGCACCCCGACGGGGGCGCCAAGATGTCGGACCACAGGGAGAGGCTGAGGAACTCGGCCTGCGCCGTGTCTGAAGGCTGCACCCTGCTATCTCAGGCTTTAAGGGAGAGGTCTTCGCCCAGGACTTTACCGCCAGTGAATTCCAATTCTGTGAATTAGCATCCCCGGCCCCATACCCATTCTTCCACCCCCAGACTAAAGGAAGATACTTATCCTCTGCCCCTCTCCATTTATACCAAAGAAATCATAGGTGAAGTGCCCCCCACTCCCAACCCCCCCATGCTGAATGCTCGAGAGGAATCTTCCAGAAGGCAGGGCCGTGCATACGATTTACACACGCACTTGGAGGGCCCTGGCGCCCACCAGCCCGTCCTCAGTAGGGACCGGGAGATGGAAGATGTGTCATCTGCTGGTTGCGGTATAATTCCCACACCCCACCCCAGCTCCTCTTCTGGAATTCCTCAACTAAATTTTATTCTTAATTGGGCAGGAAGGAAGTCATGGGTTCATTTCTTTTTTGGTCTTTTTTTTCCCCTCTAATTAAAAGAAAAGTTACCTCAGTTTTCACTCCTTAGACATGGATGTAGCTACTTTTTTGTATAGTATTTTTTTAAGCAATCGTGTTGGGTTAGGTGTGTTCTTGGTGTGGAAAGAGTATTACTTTGCCATGTGATTTGCAAATGGGGGGAGGAGCTACTGTGAGTGTGTGTTTTATTTTTTAATTTACACTATAGAGTGATTTTCTTCCCCCAATGTCAAGTTTTTACCTTGCATGTACTGGAGTATTTATTTCATCTATTAAAATGTTATGTTTCTCAGATGGCTTTTTGCAATTATTGTTGATTCTCAATAATTGTAATGTTGCATGCCGCATGTCATCTATGGAAAGGCGCCCTGGAAAGTCTACTTAAGTAGCAGTGAGGTAGGGGTCCCCAATCCTCAACCCTTTCTGCTTTACCCTTGAGTTCTTTGAGTAGCCTAGAATTCAAGACAAGAGAACTGTGTATAACACTCGCCTTGTAAAGGCAGGTGACACAAACGTGATTGGACTGTGTACAGTGCTGGAATGGGGCTATTGGGGTTTTTGTCTTGTCTCTAGTTTCTCCTGGAAAGTAATTTAGAACCCTTTGTCTCTGCTCATCTTTCTGTCCTGATGAACAGTGGTTCAGGCGGACTGAAGTCTGATTGTATTCTGCCTGTCTTTTCCAGACTCTTCCTAATCTCGAGTGGTAAGCCAGCCTTCTCAGGTCAGAAGGTCTGTGCCTGGAACGGTAAAAGTACTGTATATCAAATGAGAGTATGTGGCCTCTTTCACGTAGACAGATCTATTCAGACAAAATCCATTTACTCATGATTTTAGAAAAAAGCATAGAGTGTTCTAGACTGTTTAACAGAGGGAGATATTCTGGAAAGTGTTCAGAACTTTTTAGAGCCACAGCATAATTGCAGGCAAAGGACTTATTTTTGTGACCTTGATCTAAGATACCCTGCTTGATTGTGTGTTGCAAGAATGCTTTGTTAATTGAAATTTGGAGTTATTTTAAGACAGTGTGTCCTTTCTGCAGGCATTTGAAGAAGGACTTTTTGAAGGGAGAGGGTTGTATAGTTTGCTGACCCTAGTTAGGTTTTGAGCCTTTCCCCCTGAAAGCACAGCAGATGTATTTGCAGTGCTTGCCCTTGAAAAGCCACATGGGGAAAACTCATACATGCTTTAAATTTGTCAATTTACATTTCTCTTGGGGTTTGTTGTGCCTAGACCTCCATAGATCTATAAAGAAAGAATTCTTCACTGTAGTATGTTAGAGAGAGGAAAGTCATGTTGACTGTTTTACTTGAATGGCTGTATTTATTGCAAGAACATCCTATTCCACGTGTCAAACCTCTTTAAACCTGTGTTGGGTGAGACTAGGACTGTTCGGCTTTTCTGGATTTGAAGTTTGAACAAGTCTCAGAATGGTAGGGTGTGTGTGTTTAAAAAAGTGGTCAGGGAAGCCATTGTTTTTCTCTCGTAGGTCCTGGTAGATTTAAATTTTAAAGTTTTTAAAGGATGAAAATGACCTTGAGAATGTCTATTCCTCTTCCCCTGTCCTTCTTTAAGTCTGGATCAGTCAAGTTCAGGAAGTATTTTGGAGGTAGAAAACCTAACCCATGTGCCAATGAGAATTCCTGCATTTATATAGGAATTTTTACTTATTTTTATTTGTTGGATTTACGAAAGTAATGGTACGGTTTATAATTACAAGGTTCATTTAGCCTATGCAGATCACAAAGAGTAAATTGAAAGGAAAAAAGTAAAATTAGGGCCAGAAATCTGTAAATTTGGTATTTGATTAAGAAAAAAAGAATTTGCTGATTGTTCCTTGGACTCATTCCTTGCAGAAGCAATTTTCAGGACAATGCAAGCCAAAAAAAAAAAATCACTTTCCTTATCTACTTAGATGAAGTTAACTAGCTAGTCACCAAATTAATTTTGAAACTTCTTTTTCTCTTAGCCAAGTGACAGTTGCTCTTAATGATTCTGTATGTTAAAGATTTTGACTTGTAATATTCAAAATCTCTGTCCTCTGAAGTTGTTATAAGTTTCAGTGGTGTTCTAACCTCTTTTTTTTCCATCTGTCTCTAAGATAAAGTTTGGGATTTTTCTTCCAGCAGGTGGCTTGAAATGAATTCTGTGTATGTTTTTTCCAGCAGGTTTCAGGAAACCAGAGTGAGGAAACGCACAGGGTTTCTGTGTGTCTGCACTGCTTAGCTAGGCAAGGGATTTGGGCACAGGTCTCTGACATTTTAACTTTCTTCCAATGCACCAGGCTGTTAAATGTGTTTTTTAAATAGCGCTGATTTTTAAAAAGGAGCATCTCAGACCTATTTCATTGCTTTTAATAAGGTCAGCAGAGATGGTGGTTCCAGGAATAAAATCAGAGTGGCCTGATTTTTTTTTTAATTAAACCACGCCAGAGTTATTTTAAGACATCAGTCCTTGGGCTCCTCTGACTTCCAAGGGCAAGTTTTCTTACACAGTGTTAATGGGCACCATCCTGACCTCGAATGTTGAAAACCTTCTTCCTTTGAATGGTCGTGAGAGAAGGAAATCATTATGGCTAAGTTCTCAGAACGAAACCTGTTATTTATGACAGTCAGCCCAAGTAAATGGGACAAAAGTCTTTCAAACTCAAGACTTGACTTAACTAGAGAAAAGCACAGCTCTGTCTTTCCTTGGCTGTTTTAAGCTTGGCCTTTTTCTATTACTTATTCTGAGTTGATGTTAGTAAATGCAAAAATTACGTGTGTGTGTGTCTTTTTTTCTCCCCCATCCTAATCTCTATCAGTTTTTTCTAATTTAGGGTCATATTTCTCAAGAAATATCGAAAGATTTTGTAATTCTGGAAGCGTTAGTTACATCGGATTGGTTATTTTACAAACACTTTTTTTTTTAAGGTGGCATAGGGATCTAAAATATTTGACAGTTTGGAACAGCTAATTTTAACAGAAACAACTGTTTTTCAGAATGAATGTGACTCTGGTAACATGCAGATCAGGCAGAGGATTTGAAAAACGCCTGCCAAAGCCACGGGAAAGGAGTTAAGAGAAGAAATCCATATGACTTGAGCAGCACTTCTGCCTGAGGGCCGTCCCCTGGCCCGGGTGCTCTGGTCTCCAGCAACGGGAGGAGCCCTGAAGGAGACCGTCTCTGGTTCCCAACGTGGACACAGATATTTGTTCCCTGCAGGCAAATTCTTGTCTTGATTAAAAAAAACTTTTTTTTTTGCATGAGTATGTGAAATGAATTGGCCTATTTACCTAAGGAGGGTTTTTCTTTAGGGTTGTTTGGATAGATGACTTGTCTGCTTCCACTTCAGTGGCAGAAATCTCAAAGATTGAACTGTCCAGATGGTGTGTATAGAGGAAGTATGGTCCTAGTGTCTGTGACTGGAGTTGATTTAAGTGAAGTGCAAGGCCTCTTCAGGTCAGGGGCTGTGGTGTCTGGCACATGTGTAGTTGTGTTTTGAAATGAATGTGTGTACAGGATGCCTGCAGCACGTATACATAAGCAAGTGGTAAAATTGTTTCTGGAAATGAAGGTTATAATGGGCATTCATTCCGTAAATATTTACTGGGGGCCAAATGTGTGTGCCAGGCCCTGTGCTGGGCACGGGGTACAGCTGTGAGTGACACCTGGTTCCTCCCCTTGGGAAGACTCAGTGCTGCTCCATGCGTGGTTGGTGGACCCACAGCATCAGCAGCAGCCTCATCCTGGGCCTACCTCAGGCCTACGCAGTCAGAAACTTTGGGGGCGGAGCAGTCTGAGTCTTATCAGTCCCTCCCAGGTGGCTGATGCATGCCCACTCAGGAGAACCACTGGTCTGTGGGGCCTGCTGCTTTCTTTTTCTCTCCTCCCGCCGCTGTAAGTCCACAATGCTGCTGTGTCAGGAGGTGGCAGCATTTTTGCAAGTTTCTTGTTTGCTCAGGTGTTTTTTTCTCCTGGATATTTTGAGCCCTTTTCTTCAGATAGAGAAGATAATTTAGTCTCTCCTGCCAATTTGGAATTGGCAGGTTTTTCTTTTGGGGTGCACATGTATGTATGTGTGAGTGTTTATAAGTACGGAGTTCTCCCCCATCTCCCACCCGCCTTAAGCTGGCAAGTTAGCTTTCTCTGTTTTTTGCGTGTTGTTGACTGGTCCTGGAAAACTGGAACTAGCATACAACCTAATTAAAAATCAGCCCTGTAGCTCTTTGGCTGCCCAAGAAAGAGCACTTTGCTATGGAGTTTGTAAAGTGTTCAGAACCAATGAAGCATACAGACTTATTCCAATGCTCATCTTAGCGATAACTGAAGTCTGCAACATACTCAGGAAATATGCCCCTTCAGGCCAACTGTGCACAAAGAGTTAGGATGATTTTTAGAGCCTCCTTACTCACAAGGGTGGTCCTGGGAGCTGGCATTGGCATCACCCAGGAACTTGGTAGATGGCAGAATCTTGACCCCACCCTAGACCTATCCAATCAGAATCTACTCTTTGGCAAGATCTCTAGGTGGTGTCTGTGCACATTGAATTTGAGAAACAGTCTTTTAGGAGGTAAATGTCATGGCCATGGGTGAATCATGGCTTTATTCTTTCCTATGGGCACTTAGGCATTCATCATGTTTATTGAGATCTTTTCGGTTTATAAAGCGTGTTCATGTATGTTATGTAACTGGGTCCTTGGAGCCGTCTTCTGAGGTAGGCAGGTATTACTCATTGTACATGTCTAAACATCTGTACCCCGCTTTTCCCGTTGTACAAGTTAAATCAAATATTTATGATGAATTTCCATGCAGCCCAAGGCCTCACGCTGAGCTCCACAGACTCGTTCTATCTACTTCATAGGTCGTGGGAAGTATTATCTAAAACACTTTGTGTTAAAGTCAATTTCCCCTAATAATCTTGCCTCTATCCTTCCGGTAATTTGGCACAGCAAGTGTATTGTGACACCCTCAAGGATGGCCCAGATAAAGAGCATAGCCCTGTCTTCTAAGTCTTCCTCTGTTGTTCTGTGTGGCGGACTGCCCAGGTTCTCTGAAACATCGGATATGTTAAGTTCCTAAAACCACAACGTCGGTCAGATGTTTCAAACTGCAGGGAAGCGTTTGCATCCTGATTTGGATTTGTTAGCATAATCTAAAATGAATTCATTTACTGATTTTAAACTTTATTCTAAGTATTCATTACTAACATACATGTATCCAGATTAGGACACAGAGGGGGAACTTTTTTCATCCTGTGTTTCAGGAAGGGAAACATGTATGGCATGCATTCAGGATTAATGAGCATACCGCCCTGA